CTTATGTACTAGACTAGGGAATTCCTTTTGAGACAATGTAGAGTCTAACCTTTTGTTATTCCGCTGCAAGTTCAAATTTGATTCTATTGGATGTAATTGCCTTAGTTAATCAAATTCTTTTGGATACGATGGTCATGCTTTGGCATATTCTTTTGAATTAGGTTGTAAATGTTATGAATGATGAATGAAATTTTCTTTACTTATGGATTACATTAATTGCTCTCATGATGTGAATGACTTTTGAATTGTAATGCCGTCCAAAGTGGATTTTGGGGCGTTACACATTGACTCTGGTGCAAGCTTCTATCTCACTCCATACTTCTCCAATTTATCTCTTGCAAAGACATAAGTTGGTTTAGACTCAATAACAGTTGGAAATAGAGCTACCAATAACACATAGGTCAAGCATCTTTAAATATTAAGTCTAATTCTTTTTTCGTGAACGTTGTCCTCCATGTTCTAAATCTTTCTTCCACTCTTTTTTCTGCATGATAGTTTTTTGTTGATAACAACTACCGATTTATTTTTGACTCTTCTTATTTTCAAATTCAGAACAATTCTTCGGAGAAAATCCTTTACCAATGACAAACTGAAGATGGCTTGTATCCCATAAGATATGTACCATCTTCATCCATGGTAGCGAATCTAGAAACCAAGATTTCGCAACACACATGGCATAAAAGATTAGGACATCCTTCCAATCCTATTGTTTAAAAACTTCTCTCAACTTCTCAAATTTCATCCTTGTCCAAATCTCAGAATCCTAATTCTTGTATTTGCAAATATTGCGTGTATGGTAAAATTTCTAGACCCCTTTCTCCCCCTCACAGTCAATATATTTGCATCCCTTGGAATTAGTTCATATTGATGCGTGGGGTCCTTCCCCTAGAAGTCATTCCATGGTAATAACTACTATGTTTCTTTCATCGATAATAAAACTAGATTCACTTGGATATTTCCTCTTGTGCACAATATGATGTTTACACTACATTTCTTAACTTCAAGTTTTATGTTGACAATCTGTTTTCTTCTAAAATCAGTAAATTTCATTCTTATAGTGGTGTTGAGTTGTGCAACAAAAAATTGAATGATTTCCCTTCTAAATCTGGAATTGAGCACCTGAAAGGTTGTCCATACACACCCCAAAAGAATGGGATTACAGAGAGGAGGCATTGTCATATAGTCAAAACCAACTTAAATTTGATTATTTGGGCCTCTCTACTACCTCATTTTTGGTACCATGCTTTTGCTACCTTTGCTTTTTATATTAACAGACTGCCTAGCATCAATACTTCCTCATAGTACCCTTATAAGTTACTTTTCCATTCCACTCCAAACTACAATGATCTCAAGGTCTTTGAGTGTGCATGTTACCCTTATCTCACACACATCTTTATCATAACAAGCTACAACTTAATACAGCTGAGTGTGTATTTCTGGGCTATACCCGAGATTACAAAGGATATATATTCTTTGATCCCAAGTCCAACAAGTGTCACGTTTCTAGACATGTGGTCTTTAATGAATCTTCATTTCCATTTGCTTCTTTATCTCGCTCTTCCTTACATCCTTCTCTTCTTGGTCCTAAACCCAACACTTCTTTTCTTATTGAATTATTAGTTCTCTTACTTCTTCTCCTTATTTCTCTACTATTCCTTCAGCTACTTCCAATCCTCCTTGCCCCTCTCTATCTTCTTTCTTTGATACTTTTGTACATTGTTCTCAGCTTCTAATACATTTTCTTCACCAGCTAGTACTCATGTTATGCAAACCAGATCCAAGTCTGGTTTCTACAATCCTAAGGTTTATCTTACCATTGTCCGTAGTTCTTGTTCTGAACTCATTTCCTACATTGCAACATCTAAATATCTTGAGTGGTGTGATGCCATGAAAGATGAATTCATTGCTCTTCAAAAGCATCAAACTTGGACTCTAGTTCCTCCTCTTGTTCACAAAACATTATTGGATGTAAGTGTGTGTACAAGGTTAAGCATCCAGATGATACCATTTCCAGACATAAAGTAATGCTAGTGGCTAAAGGTTATCATCAAGAGGCTAGTCTTGATTTTGAAGAAATGTTCAGCTTTATAATGAGGCATGCTAACCATTCTTTCCTTGGCTGTTCAATTTCATTAGTCTTTAATACAACGTGATGTTATGAATGCCTTTCTTCGTGGCATTCTTAAAGAAGAAGTTTGCATGCATCAATCCCCTGTATTTCATGATTCAGCTTCCTAATCATGTGTACTGACTGCACAAAGTCCATTTATGGCTTGAAACAAGCTCTTAAATCTTGATTTGAAAGATTTACTACTCATCTTTAGACATGTGACTTTGTTCCTTCTATAGTTGATCCTTCTCTTTTCATCAGAAAATCTAGTTCATCTCTCACTTGTCTTCTCCTTTATGTTGATGATATATTATCACTGGTAATAACCCCTCTTTTATCATTTCTCTTATCACTCATTTGTATATTGTGTTTGATATGAAAGACCTAGGACCCTTGACTTGCTTCTTGGGTATTCATATTACTCCAACATCTGCTGGCCTTTTCTTCTCTCAGCATAAGTACCTTATAGTTCTTTTAATTAAAGCCAACTTGTCTTCGTGCAAAACTTGTCCTACTCCTTGTACTCCTACCAGATTGTCTAAAATAGATGGCACCCAGGCCAGCAATCTCTTTTGCTGTAAACTCAGTGTAGCAGTTCATGCATGCGCCAACTTCAGCCCAACTTCACTTCATTACTCAGCTATGACAAGGGTCTCATATACCTCAAAGGAACAACTCATTGTGCCCTGCACTACTCCTCCTCTACACTAGTCTCTTTAACTGCCTTTGTTGATGCAAATTGGGTAGGAGGTCCCTTTGATAGAAGATCTACTACTGGGTTCATTATCTTATTAGGTTAAAATTTAGCTCACTAGGGAGCCAAAAAAAAATCCACAGTGTCCATCGAAGCAGAATACAAGTCGTTAGCTACAACTACAGCTGAAATATCTTGGCTTAGGACTCTATTTCATGATTTTCATACATATTGGAGTTCATGCCTATCTTCTGGTGTAATAATACTTCTGCAATAGCTCTGGTTTCTAATCCTATATTTCATACACAAACGAAGCAAATTGAAGTTGACTATCATTATGTCAGGGATCCAGTCACCAAACAGCAACTGGATATTAAACATTTCCAGTCTTAGCATCAATTAACTGATCTTTTCACTAGGGGCCTCTCTCTTGTTAGATTCTTATTTCTCACTTCCAAACTAATGGTTTCATCATCGTCAATGTGAGGGGGCATGTTGACAGCATGAGTATAGTAGATGAAACATCATATCACACAACATCATTCTCCAACTCAATCACACAAGCAATATCTGATAATAGCTCATCTAAATAGGTTATACCAACTGGACAACCATCCAGCTCAGTAACAAACTGTAACTAACCCAACTTGGCAATCTATAACAGAATTTAGTTAGTAGATTAGATGCAGCTCATAAGTGATTGAGCACATGTATAATTGAAGTGTATAAATACCTACTGATTGAATAAGAAAAGCTAAGAAGTTCAACATTTCTAAACTCTATGTTATGCTCTTTCTTCTTCATTCTATCATCAAGGTTTGTCCACATCTCTGAGGATAATCATTTTAACCTTTTGTATGTGATTCAACTCATAATGGCACACCAGTTCTTAATCCAATAGAAAGACAATTTTCATTGAGATTTGAACTTGAAACAATATGCTTGTTGGGAGGAGAATTTTGGAATTTGAGAGTAGTCAATCTTGCTCGTCACAAATCTCATTAAAAATAGTGCAAGGGTCTTTAAATGAGTTGTAGAAGACCTTCAAACACGCTGATATTTGTTTCACGAGTTTTGACCAATAAACCCAGTTTAGGACAAGAGAGTGAAATAGTGATGGAGAAAGCGGTTTGAGAGAATGGTTTTGAGAAGTTTTGAATGGGTGTTGGTAAAGAACGAAGATAAAAGAGGTGAAAAGTTGCATTTTGAATTTGGGTCATATAGTAGAAGACTTTGGATACTTCTACAAGACAGTTGATTTCTTCTGCAAAAAATTTCTTAGAACTCGTAGCTTGCGACGCTGGTTAACGAAAATTAAGAGAGAATTGTTTTAGTGCTGATGTGTATTGGGTCTGATAAGTTGCTGTTATGACAATTTTTAATTGGTTGTGCACATATGAGTCTATCACGTGGTGTGTATAATTCATTCAAAAAATTCTCAACTATTTTAGTTTACCTAAAGCTTGCATTGGTTTGGATAAAAGCTCCCATCCGCAGACTGACGCGTGGTTGTGTTTTATGGATGTGATCTGATTAGTGAAGAAGAGGGCAGTATATTTTATGATTTCTCTAAAATACCAATCATGAAAGAGATATAGGCAAACATTTGGAAGGGTGAAAGTTTTCTAGTAAAAAAGAAATAAAAAATTTTACCGACAACATTTTTTGTAAGTAACCCCGACATTCAAAATAAAACGAAAATTTATTTATTTTTTCATTCTGGTGTTGACTGTTTGCAGGCCATTTTGCCTGGCCAGCCCCTGCCCAGGCAATCCAAGTGCAACCGAAAGGTAGACTCAGACTAACAAATTGTCCACGGGCTGCGATGTGACAGACCAATACAACCATGGACCACAAGGCTAACAGGCTTCCGAGCCAGTCCATGCGCTTGGGACAAAGGCCGAGTCTCATTCTAGTGCTAGACACATCAGAAACTGGTTGGGACTAGTAAGCAGTAATCTCTGCCTTTAGTGCAGTTACTAGTGTGAAGTTTGTTTTAATAGGCCTTCAGCTTGCACATTCAATTGTTGGTTTATGAAAATTCCTCAGAACAGCATACATTCATGCTTACTCATTGAAAATAACCAATCCACATATGCACTTCGGGAGATACAATTTCTGCCTTACAAGGAAGAGGTCCAATAATGTATTAATTTACTGTAGCACAGAAAGCACAACACTTGAAAATTGTACGCTTCAGGAAGTTGTTTTGCGTCTTTGGAAAACAAATAGAGAACCTCTTGAGCCCTTCCCTAACCTGATCTTTTCATCTATGTATGTGATCTCCAGCTTAACCTCACTCTCACCACCATACTTGAACTCTAGTGCTCCGACCTTAAGTTCAGGCGGCTCAAACACCACTTGAATCCATTTTTCATCCAAAGCCTTCAGCTTTCCTATGTTTATATAATAACAGGAGTTAGAATGACTAAGGAATGGCAGAAAATAAGAATATATGCAGTACTAATCAGAAACTGACAGGAATTGATTTCATTAGGCTCAAAGTTGAGCCTCATTGCCTCATAATTTGGTATTTTTGGTTGTAGATCAACTAAAGATTATCCACTATTTGATTCAAAAAATAATGTGCACATGCCCTGTTAAACTGAGGAGGTTTGGAAAACACAGAACATTCAAAAGTAATAACATAAATCCATCAAGTCTAGTCAAACAAAGTAAGATTATCTGGAGACATGCTAACTCACAAGACTTGCACAGGGATCAGTTTGACTCCTTGGTTATGTAGTAGGATAACAACTCCACCAGATAATAATTTGCAAAGTAGATTACCTTTCAAAGAGACCTCTCCATCAAGGAACCCCAAGGCAGAAAAGGACACCTTGTTTAGCACTATGTCAGGAGCTTCAATGACCTGAATCATTTCCTTGGTTCTGAAGAAAAGGCGGCCGAATGCACTCCTGTAGCCACCTCCAGGTGATGTAGGCACCGAACAATAAACAACATCCCACTCTGTTTATAAGATGATAATTCAGTTAAGCTTACAAAGAAAAGCAAAATAAGATGGAGACCTTCTAAATCAACAAAACACTATTACAATTTCAAAAGCTAAAAATAACACAAATAAGTCATCCACAGTTAACCTCTTGATACCAGGAATGGGCAAATAGAAATTAAAACAAATGAGAATCTATTATTTAAGATAAATTAACCTAGTGGACCCAGGTTTGCCACTAGTATCACTTTGTTCCTCAAAGATTTAATGCTCTCTATCGAGTCCCCAAAGTCACAATGTGGTCCTTGGCAATTGCTACCATTCAAATCAGAAATAGAAGACATCATCATATGAAGGTATTGAGGGTCACCAGTGTCACTGTGGTCCTTAGTGCCCTAATTTCCTCAATTGAGTCCTCAGAGTCATCACTTGAAGCAATGGTCCTACGCAAACTGCCATTTAAATCAAGACAGATAACACGTGCGTAGCATGTGAACATATTGACAACTCTAGTGGGAAAAGCATCGCATTAATTGACCAAAGTAACACTAGTGGAAAACCTTAAGGACCATTAATGTAATTTACCATGTTTATTTGTGGTCCCATTAATGCAAGATGCTAGGAAGGTCAAGTAGACATACACATTAACCTTCAGGGTTTTTTGCACTATGTGGTTGCCCTCATACACACACCCACATCTAATGTATGGAAACATAGTTCATTATCAGTTGACCAAGGAATAGCCCCTTTAAGCAGTCTATGGTTATCTATAATTTGAATGAAACATGTTTGAAAATGCAGAATGGATGGTCAAAGATTGTAGTACTCATGTTTGGAGAGGCCTTCGGTGTGATCATGTAAAAAAATCATAAGAGACGTGTATGCACAGGCACATGTGCACTTGCACGTGCAAGTGCGCTCATGTTTGCAGGTATATGTGGGTGGGCACATGTGCATGTTCATGTACACACAAACACAAGTTTCTGTCAGAGGTGATGATGATGGTATTGTTTCTCCGAAGTTAATCATAAATTGAAGGGGTTGAGATGTCTTAGAGATCAACTCCTATGTTATTGAGTTTCTCAAGGTGAGTAGGTATCCATTCCGGCATAAGAGGTTTTGAAACTAAAGCCTTCAACAAGACTAGCAATACAAAAAGAAACAGCTTCATTGCTTTCCAAAAGCCACAGAACATTCCCCACATATAAAGAGCTAGTTTGTTGTAAGACTCAATGACAAGATTACCAATGTTTAGGAAGCAAACTACCAATCAATCCATAGCCTAGGTATATAGGCAACAAAAATATATTGTTTTCTAGGAGATGCAAATCCATCACTTTCATGTGTTTTCCATGCTGAAGGAATCATAAGAATCCAACAAAAGGGCGACTAAGAAAGAACAAAGGGAAAATAAGGAATAAGAATGGATGGAAACTCTACTATTCCATCACAAACAATAGCTCCCATCACTAAGGATTTACCTCCGAATATTAGAGGGCATTTTACAGGTTCATCAACACAGAATTCTTGCAATTCTTGAGCCACTTCAGCTACCCTTTTGTGTTCGTCTATTGTCAGCGAAACTCCTCCATCTGTTTGCATTACCTGATTGAGACATGCATCAGAATTATATATGACTAAAATTTCCAAATCAAGGCCAGACACCACTAGATGACATTGCACAGATATTAGAATTCTAACAGAGAAGAACACAATCATAAAGCAACTGAGTGTAGGATGTAATGCTACTATTTGAAAATAATGGAACTATAAGAAATGTCATGGTTTGGAAATAGGGAAAAATCAGGCTTAGTTGGTGTGAAGTAAAATTTAACTCACAATAGGTCTGAAAATTACCGTTTACGACTGTATCAGACATATTCCCTCTGGTTAGTAGACGCTTACACAAACCTTCACTATCATAGTTGACTATCATGCATAGCAATATCAAGTGCTGAATCATTCACATCTATGGCCCATTTTATTTTTTGATTAATCAGAAAGCCTGTTGGTGACATTCTTTTCTTTTTAATACAAAGAATGGCGAACTAAAACCTCCATAATATTTTTACGAAGCCCTTTCCCAAAAACTATCTGAACTTGCACAAAAGAAACTGAATGCATTAAAGCATAATAGCAATACAATAATGGTGGTGAGTTTTACTACTAGATATATGATGACGTCATTAATCTACAAACAAGTCTATGATCCCAGAAAATTTAGGGGAGGTTGCCAAAATAATTATGAAGTGCAATGTACGCAGGTGTCTTGAGTTCTAACATCCAAACATTTGCACATGCATATGCAATCCAAACCATATAGACAGCAATACAACTCCAATCAATTCAACAACACCTTTGTACATAGTCCAAATTTTGAGAGTTGGCTACATGAACCATGTTTTGCCATTCTAATTCTACAAGGGTCAAAACTTAAACTAAAATTAAGCTACCATGTTTTAGTCATCCTCCAATACTGACAGCATCTGCAACTGAAATACGCTTTCGATAATTTAGGCAAGAATGATAATTGAATTAAATCCTTTTTACTTTCTATTTTTTCTTTACATTTAATTTTCCTATTTTCCAGTTATTTTTCATCTTTATTTTCACATACCTTTTGTGTGTGTGTAATATGTAACTTTTAACAAGTTTATTTTTAGGCACGGAATGAAACAAAAACTGCCAAAATTCTAATCTAAGTATATTGATAGACTTTGGGACAAACAAAAAAAACAAGAAAAGAACAGGTTTCTTTCCCTCTGCAGAAAGGGGGACTTCAGAAGTTTCGAAAAAAGAAGGAAATCAAATGACCATCAGAAAAAACGAATCAATTAGGTTCCTGTTATTAGAAGACAGTAATTGGAATTGATGGCTAACAATAGGATCCTTCCACAACAAGAGAGCAGTTGGAAGATGAATAACAAATCTAAACAACCCTATTAAACCTATTGGAAAAATATGACAGTAAATTTATAGTCTTGCCATGCCACATTCCACATGCCACCTTGTATCAATTGGAGAAGAATGAGTGACGGGCGTGCTACCCCACAATATAACCCTGCAAAACATGATAGAGAAATCCTGACTTGGCATATGAGCAAAAGTGCAATACCTGTTACAGAAACCTTGTATTTGAATTCAAGCACGCAAGAGATTTTTATCCCCTTCGCAGAAAGGAAGACATGGCTTGCTACATAGGAAATCATCCTAAGCATTCTTTGTGAATCGACTTATGCAACTCAAAAAAGTTAGTTCCTTCTTTGGCGATGAGTTATTTTTGTCTCATCTCTACATGATTAGCTAAACATGAATGTAGCCTTAGTCTTCCCCCTCAACAACCTACAAAATTCCTATATGCCCATTCTTCCTGATTATCTTAAGGTGAAACCTACAAAATTACTCTTGATTCCATGCTGCCAATCTATATCATGTCAATCACGCCCAAAAATGTAGCAGTATCAGGAGCTTTCAACAAAGACAGTGTAACATCAACAGGGTATTGAGGGTTTACAGGCTGTTCCTTTGAATTGAGCATGTAAAATTGAACCACTGATGGGTATCAGAAATGGAAATAAAGAGCCGGGGCAGATTGTTATGGCCCAAGAAAGTGTAAAGTCATTTGGTCAACCTATAATCTATGAGCAAGTAATACTCAATGTGAACTGCAATCTATAAATCAAGTTTTTTAGTCAACACTGGAAAAATACGACCAAATTCTGTACTCTAAGCAAAATGAAACTCATCAATATGCAATTGTTGAGCTAATTTGGCTGATTCATTTTAAATTTTTAATTCACAGTGGGTGAGTTCACAAGATTATCCTAATAACATAATACAAGTTACAAAAATGAGTCACTGAAAGGTCCCACCACTCTGTATCATCGAACCACTAGTAAAGATATAGGATTTTATTCTCTCACAATTGAAAATATCATATTCTTCATTCACTAATGGAATGTTAAATGCCCATGGATTTGAATTTCCCCAGTCTATTCACCATAAACAACAAGATAAATTTTGTCCTCTATGGTACAACTGCACTGAAATATAGTAAAGCTCTCACCAAAATAGAATGAAATCAGTTTTTAAAGCCCAAACTCATTCTTTCTCAAACACAACAAAACAGAATGTTCTTTATAAGAGATTAATGAATTCGGTATAAAATTATAGTTCATCCTTGTCTCCACTTCGTTGGGCATAATATGAACATTTTACCAGAACTAATCGTTGCATTCAAACATCATAATCGTCACAGTATTCAATAATGTAATATAATATATCCTATAAACTCTGAGAATCAAGCTATATCGGAAATGTTGCATGAAAAAAAATACTTAAGAGACTCTAATTTTGGGAGAAAGATAGATTGCAATATTGGGACTCATAGTCTCATAGAACATAGTTGTTCTAAGCACTGCCATCAGAACCAAGATTTTATCTTGAGCGGGACAAATGGCCAATAGACAAAAATTTAATTCAATAAGATTATTGAACGGTCATTGTTAAAGATAAATTTTTATGTCATGCCCTCGAAAAAATTAGTTTTGAGCACAAAACTCAAAAATTGGTTCATGACATCATAAAAGTTCATTTGTGACAATACTATCATTCTCTTTTTTTTTCTTGTTTATGATGTACCCTTATGTCTATAAATAAATTATGATGGCAAATAATAATTTCATATGATACTATAATAAAAATAAATTATAAAGCAATGAATTGCTTTTAATATAAACCATATTTGTATCCCTAGTTTAATTTTAAAAAAAGTTACTTATTTTTTCTCTATGCTCATCAAAATATCCAACAACTGTTTTGGTAGTACAAGTGACAGTCATCTATGTAATTACATCATAAATGGTTATTAAATATGAATACCCCAAGTGACATACTTACACATTGGGTATTTTAAAAAGTAAGAAGCTAATAATAAAATTTTCTGAAAATATAGGGGGACGATGAAAATTTTTAAAATTTGGGGTTCACGGTGATGGCTCCAGGCGTACTCATAGTTCAGTAACTGACTGCCACAAATTTTTTTGGAATGAACAAATCATGTCTATAATTTAAGTACAATTAATATTTCTTTTCTTGAAATTTCAATTGAGATAGTTGGAGAAACCATAAAACCAAACACCGGAAACCCATGAAACAAAAAGAAGAAGCTGAATGCAAAAAAGGGACAAATCTAACCTTGGAAAGAATGGCGGCCACGAGATCCTCGGACTTGGATGAAACCGGCATGGAAATCGAAGCATAAGTTCTGGTGGTGGTTTTGTGTGCCCAACGACGAGGAAGTGTAAGTTTGAGAGGCGAAGTTGGAGGTTCTCTTGTACCACGTGAGAGTTGGAGGGCTCCGGTTAAGGACGTACTAGCAGGAGTTGCTAGGAACAGAGCAGCCATGCTTTGACACCAAGGTTCCCTAGACTGCCTGTTAGATTAGCTGTCCTGCCCTTCTGCCTCCACGAAAAGTTTGGGAAATCAAAAATGGGACTCAACTGCAAGTGGACTCTTGAATTGCGTTTCGCCACGTCAGCATATGTTCTGTACATTCATTACCCGTTATCCAGTAACGCTTCCTCCTCCCTCGTTCTCTCCCTCTTTTTTCAGGAAAGTCTCCCTCCTCCTCTACTTTCTCTATTTGTTTCGACCATTGTTTTGTTTTTTTGCTGGTTCTAAAAAGGGGGTAAAGAAGAGCGTAATACCCTTGACCTCGTCTAAAACCCTACTTGGAATTAAATCTAACTAAGTTAATATTCTGATTAACCACTAAGTCTCTAGAGACTTTAAGATTTGAAATTCCAACCTCAGAATAAAGTCGATATCCACTAGACTACCCTACTTGATGTTAAGTTTCAACCATGTTTGTTTCGTGGATTGGTATGGTAAGTATTGAGAAATCTATTTCTTATATTTTTAATATCAATGAAAAATTAGTATTGTAATAAAAAAAAAAAAGTTTTCTTTTATATTTGTTAGTTTAATTGGTACTATAACGGATCTCATAAAGAACCATCTATTCTATTACATCTTCTATAACAATTATACAATTTTATTCTTAACATCATCCATTTATTATTCTATTTTAGATGTATGCACAAAAAATTTTGTAAAAAAAAATTAAAAAAATTGGTGACATCGTTTGCTTAAAAATAATATAACGAAAAAATTTAAAATAAATTTTTTAAAAAATTTTAAAAACTAGGTGATACCATACGCTTAAGCATAATGCAAGAAAATAAATTAATTGTTTTTAAAAAAAAAAACAACTAGTGACACTATACGCTTAAACATAATACACAGAAAAAATTCAAAATCAAAAATTTTTTTAAAAAAAATTAATAAAATTAAAAAACAAAAACCGTTGGTGGCCAAAATTTCATACTAACATTAAAGGCTGAAGGACAATTCAATTATTAATCTCCTTAATACCATTGGTGGCCCAAACCCAACAAATAACTGTAGCTAACGGGTCAGTATTGCAATCTAAAAAATAGTACCACACAAAAAAGGCAAACAAACAAGATATTAATGAATCCCACGAATATTTTCCCTCATCTCACCTCTTTATACCATAATTATCCTTCAAATAAACATACCCTTGGAGTCATTGGACACGACAAGAGTATAGGCAGAGTACAATACGAAATTAATGGGTTAAGATTAACTAATTTTTAATATGACTAAAAAAATAATATAAATTGCTAATATAAATCTATAAATGGTCGGATTAGTATCAAAAGAATTTGATGAAATAAACATGTGTAAGAGATATTAATGACTACTTTTTTTTATTTATATCACGTATTGACATAAATCATTGTGAATGATGATTTGTGTTTTTTTTTTTTGTGTTATTTGCCACTACATAGACTTAAATAGATTTTTAGATTTCGAGTGATAGTTTGGTTGATAAATAACTGGATTCTAGTACTAAATTTTTAATTCTCTAGTTATAACAGTTAATACTAAATATGTCGGATTAGCATCACAATATCTGTCACAATTAATTTAATAAGTTTGTTTAAAATTAATTAATACTCAACACAAACTGACACGAGTCAAACAAGGATGTATCTTTATCCCTATACCCATTTCTCTCTCTTCCCTTGATTCCTTCTTTTTTTTTTTAGTATACGGTCTTGATTATTTAAAAGTCCTCTTTTTTATTTCCTTCTATTTAATTGTATTTGTATAAAACTTAAAGTTCTGAATTTTAAAAAGTTGTCAGCATTTGATTGGAACTTTGAATTTGAAATTGTTGGCTCACTACTGTGATGTCTTGCACATCAATATCGAGGGACTGAATGATTTTAACTGACCATTCACATTTTCCCTCAGTTTTCTCAGCAATCAAAAAGAGTGTTGAATTATAGCAAACTAAGTGGCTGAATTAGACAACCCGCTTTGATAATAGCAAAATATATTCAATATGACTCACTGAACACCCACTCGGTAGAATGGCTCAACACTTTCAGTGTACAGTTAATGTTTGACAATTCTTTTTTGGTTTGACAAATTTTGTGTGGATAAGAAAACAAGGCTTCTCTCAAGCTTAGACACTTGCCCACTGATAAATACCGAGAACAATTTTTAGCTCCTCAAATACATTTAGTTTGTCAGAATACGTGAAACCATTTAATGTAAAACAGGAAGAAAAATGTGCGTGCAAGATCCTGTACAATATAAAAAATAAGAACAGATCTCTCTCTTGGTGAACTCGAGTGAGGCGGTTGAGTGACCAAACACGCTGCTTGGAACAGCCTGCGAGGTCCGGTGGCAACCTGGAACGGCAACGGGAGACCCTGGAGGAACGAAAGAACGATCCAGTAAGGCTGAAAGAGGTTCCTGGAACAAAGAAGAACAAGTTAGAAGGGCGCCGGAGTGTTTTCTGGCGTATCCCCTTCGACGATCTAGTCAGTCTTTTAGAAAGAGAGAGGAAGGAGAAAACACTGAGTGAGTATTGTAGTAAAGAGTTTTTTTGTTGCATACCCGTCTTGCCTTTTGCAAGGAGTATTTATACCTCAAAAGCTCATGATTGCTGTCAGTGTAGTCAGTAGGTGATCATTAGGTACAGACAGTGTGCGCACTGATTCTGATGAGGAATGTCTCATCTTCTTAATTGTTCGGGGTCGCAAGCAATCAATGCTGGGTCATTGGGATGCCGGCGGTACAATGTATTCCTCTCGGGGAGGATGCAATAAATGCTCTGTATTAGGAGCATTTATTGTCTTTCATTTCCGAGTCTTACCGCATTGAATGCGGTCTCATGAAGGGAATGGTGTAATTAATAGTTTGCTTTCACAAGTCGCGTGTCAGCAACGGCATGCGGTTTCTCTGTCTTCGATGTGATATCATATGCCACGCGTCCACCCCTCATTGGTTGTGGCCCCTGCATTTTCCAGTACGTTCTGACACTAATTGTGTAAGACGAGGTCATGATGAATAGCCTAGGCTAATGACCTGTACGTCAATAACCTATCCTGGAGTAGAGGAGGCGTCTAGGACAGTACACCTCGGCACCGAGGAGAGGCTGATCTCGGAACCGAGGGAGGGGATACCGACCGAGGTACCATATCAGACCGAGGCCACGTGTCGGTTGTAAATCATACTGAATGCATGATCCTATATAACGAGTACCTCGGGGGCGAGGATCTTTGTGCGCCGATGGTGCTTGATCTTAGCAACAGTGTTTTAGTAATACCGAGGACACGTGTCTTCATCATAGAGTATTTCAGAAAGTCCCATCAACTGCCCCCCAGCCTTCGATCTTCTGACACCGAGGGCACGCGTCGTAAGGAGACGAAGGGTTTTCCCAACCACCACAACTGCTTCATCATTGCCTCGAGCCGCTTTCCCCCGCTTGGGATGTCGTGCGCATTAAATGCGCCGTTTCATTTTTCGCGCCCAATGATGAAATTGCCTCTATATAAATGGGGCTCCTCTTCCGTTTTCTTGTTTCGCCATTCCGAACTTCCTCAAGAGAGTCTTTTCTTGAATCTTCGCCGGAGATCTCTTTCTTCTTCCATCGTCGACTGCCCATTCTTCCTTAAAGTCTTAAGGCCAGCAGACCCATCGTTGCTTCTGAACTTTCTGGAAGGAGTCGCTTTAAGGTTTTCCAAAAAAAACTCCGTTTGACATTCGGGTGAGTTCCAGTATCTTCCTTCATTTCTTCCTCCTATCCTTTTGTTTTCCGATGACTGGAGGTGTCTCCAGTTGATACATAGCGATTAACCCTCGGGAAACTTCCTCAGGGATTTTTAAGAACAAACACCCTCTACTTTCTCACTTTCTTAGAGATGCCTCGTCGTCGCCCTGCTCCCGAGAATCCTCAGGCTGGTTCTTCAGGGTCGGGGAAGTATAAAGTAAAGGGTGGTGAGCAGATTGATAGGTTTAAGGTCCAGTACGGCATTCCCCCGTGCGTAGACGTAGAGGATTACGACCCGGTGGTGCACTCTCCTACCCTCGGGGCCGAGGATGCTATGCCCTTTTATACCAAGGCCATAATAGAGGGAGGAATTAGGTTTCCTTTACCCCCCTTACTTCTTCAGTTCCTTTCTCACTTCCGCCTCTTCCCCGGGCGATGTTGCCTTAATGTTTTCCAAATAATTATGGGGGTCTTAGAGCTCAATAGGCGCCTCGGGGTAAATATTGGGCTCAACGATCTCCTTTTTTGTTATTCCCTCCTAAGAGTCATGCCTCACCAACACTTCTACCTCAAAGCCAAGGACCCCTCCATGTACCTTGTAACTCATCTTCCTGACTCGGACAAGGGGTACAAGGATGATATTCTTATCTTCAAGGGATCTTGGCAGAGAGGTGTTGGTCCCGAGTATAACGACTTGTTATGCCCTCTGGAATGGAGAACGACAAGTACGTCGGTTCCTTCTGATTTATTATTTCGTTCTTCAGATTTCCCATGTTCATGACTACTTTTTTGTTTGTGCAGATATTCCTGCTCGAGAAACAGCTCCTCCCCCTCGGTCGCTGGTGAACTTTGTCGACCTAGTCACGGTTTGGAGATTTACTGGTGACAACGGGTTCGGCCGGGCTGCCCACATCCTGCTGAATTACACCCCCGGATATAAGAAATTTTCACAGCTTCCTCAGCCTTTTGAGCCTTCGCAGTGGTCTGAACTCTTCGATCAGGCGGCAAGGCAAGAGGTCGAGGAAAACTTGGAGGAAGACCCTGATCGGGCTTCGGAGGCAGAGGTAGAGGGAGTTGTTGAAGAGCTCGGGGTCAGAGAGGACGTTGTTCCTTCGGACGCCGAGGTGGGGACTTCGGGAGGAGACTTGTGGCCAGACTTCCAAGTCCTACAATCTCTAGACGCCGAGGACGCCCTCGAGGTCGCGATGTCCAGCACGCCTCGCATTGACCTGGGGTTCCTGAGGCAAAGACAAGC